CCACCTGTAACAGGGTGGTCCCCAGGAAAGGGGGATTCCAGTTTCCCTGCCCCACCCAAATGGAGGGTGGAGTAGAGCAGAGAGAGAAGATGCTGCAGAGGAGACTGAGGAAGGAAGGAAGCAGGATGGAGCCAGAAGGAGACCTGGAGGAGGCGCATGGAGCCTAGAGACATGTGAAAAAACTGAGCTTGCCTTTTGGTCGTGGACTGGGTAACACAGATGTGGGTGAGACCCGTGGGGAGGTGACAATGGCAGCTTTTATCTTGATTTGATTTTGCTCTTTTCCTTCTGGGCTTGTCTGGTTGTTTCTGACCCTTTTCTGTGGGTTCCCACTGGAAGATGCTTTAGACTTGTGACAGGCTTTGGGGCCTTGCTCTTAGCCAATGCCGTTTGGATGGAGTTTTACCCACGAGGGGACGGGTAACATTGGGTGCTTGATTTAGAAACCATATTCTTTGCCTTTTCTGTATTGTTTCCTAATTGTATTAAAGTTGCTTCCCATTAAAGTCTCATATGTTTTGTGTTGATGCGGCAGATGGCAGAACCCATTTTGAATAGGCAAGTTTGCGGGGTTTGGGCTGCCCCTCTCCCTGCCCTGTAACACACCCAGCATTCATAGCCCCTCCCATGAAATTAATCTTTTGTTAAAAAGACATATTTTAGGGTGGTAGATTTTTGCTCCCTCACTGTTGCATAATTTGGGCAAGTTGCCTGTTTCCCTTGTGTCTGTTTCTTTTGTAAATATTAAAGTAATAAATGAAGCCTACCACCTACTACCTGCTGTGAGGTTTAGATGGCAAATGTGTTAAAGGACATTGAACAATTACTAGCACACAGTAAATAATAAATACTAAGTAGTAAATTCTAAATACTATTAAGTGCATAATCCCTAGATGTTATTTGTGTTGAGTGCACTGTTACCAAGCAAAATTCTCTCCAGCTTTGTATACCTGCTGTTGGGATTTTGACTGCAATTAAACTTTCCTTATTTCCTCCTCTTGTTTATAATTCATGTAGTGATTTGTTCAGGCTGTTTTAAACCCTGTGTAAAGGCAGTATTGTGAGTTAACCCAACTCATGCTTGATTCTCACCAGCATCAGGAAATGGATTAATGTCAATGAACATGCCTCTTACTGTATTGACTACAGGCTAACTCTTGCATGGTCTTCCATTGCTAGCAATCCAACTTATAGTTTGAAAGTAACCCATATGGAATGCCTAATAGTTGTCTGTGCTAATAGTTGTCTGTGTAACTCTCCCTTACACCTCAGGTTTCTAATTTCTAAGTGTTGGAGCTGGACCAGGGCAGTTGAGCTTTGCCCACCTTTTTGCCTCAGGATGTGGGGCCAAACTAGCCCCCCCCACCCTTGTTTAACACCCAGAAGGGGTGGTGCTTGCATAAGAGCCTGTGTCTGAACTCAGTCCCTGAAGTCCAAGCAGGGGGCTGTTGGGAGAGGGGAGAAACCGAGTGGTTATTTGGGGAGTCTTTGATAGGGAGCAATGTACATTTTTTTTTTTAAAGATTTATTTATTTATACAAGATTGATTGATTGATTTATACATGCACTGGGTACAGTCAGAAGCGCGGAAGGGTGAGAGAATTCACCAGAGCCAGAGCGGGGAGCAGAGCAGGCAGAAGGACCGAGGTACACTGCTGAGGGGAGCAGCGGGCGGCAGGAGAGGTCTGCGCGCCATGTGGGACCCTCCTCTGGTGGCCGGGGAGCAGCCGGGGATCGAACCGGTGCTGCAGAGGCAGCCGGCAGCTTCGCAACCTAGCGCTCAACCGCTGCGCCACCGGGGAGGCCCGCAATGTACATTTTTTGTCAGAGCTGCTATAGAAGGAAACTGCCTTGCTGGTCAGCCAGGCTGCAGGTCTTCACCAGAGCTTTCCTGCGATGGGGGGAAACCCTAGCTTAGCAGTGGCAGGCTCTGTCACATGCTGCCAGCAACTATAGCTGCAGCTCCACATTATATCATCAGTCACTAACTCCCTCTACCCTACCAGTTCTCCCTTTCCCTTTACCCTGTTGGTTATTTTCTTTTGTTGCATCAAAAGGTCTTTTGTTTGGATTTGTGGTAGCAGGTGGCTGGACCCAGAATCAGGAAGAGAGGTTCTGTGCTGGTAACAATTTTTAGACTCTTTGCCTGGTATTTTAAAATACAAAGACTGAATACAGCAATCATGAATGCATTTGTTATCAAAAAACATTTAAATTTTGTGGTAACTGAACAGTATTCATGAAATGGACTATGTCTGTCTCTGGGAACAATAATTCCTAATCAGTTTGGAGTATAACAAGTTTTGTGTCAAGGAATGCTACTGTACCATATTTCAGAAATTTAAAGGTAAATGCAAATTAATTTTAAAAATTTTATGGTAACTTTTGGGTATCACAACCCAGGTATCACAAAATGAATCTTGGAAATCAAGGGCAAATTTGTAATTCACCCTTCATGTGTGTTTTCAAAATAAATAAATGAATAAACACACCAACTTTGCTATCATGCACATATTTTATTCACTTCTATAACTAGCCAGGTGTTAAACTGATACCCAACACTGGCCCCAGTTTCCTCCAGCCAATGAGAGAAAAGTTTGAGGAGAAGGAAAGTTTAATTTGTCAACAAACTGAGGAAGGCAGTAGACTCCTGTCTGAAAGACCACCGTCCTGCTCTTTGACAGAGTGCAGGGTTATTTTCACGAAGGAGTAAAACAAAACGAAGATGGTTGAGGGTCCGCATGGTATGTCCCTTTGTTGCAGGCAAATGGGAATTTCCGGTGGGCACCAGCTTGCTTTGTTAACACCTGCTGTTTAACTTCCTTAGATATTTAACTTCCTTATTATACTCTTAAGGATGTCCTTCCTTTTCCTTAGAATGCAAGAAGACAAACTTGTTAAATTCAAACTTGTTAAATGCTTATCTCATCGGGCAGGAAGTGAGACCTGTCCTGTTTCACTGCATCAAAAAAACAAAAACAAAAACAAAACAAAAACAGTGAAACAAAAAAGGAATACTTGTGTGTTATGTAGCAATGAATGAAGGTAGAAGTCATGTGGAAAAAGCATGAAATTAAAGATTGCACTTTTTTAGCAGAGGATTCACTGTCATTACAAATCAGGAGAATTCTTGTTTATGTTATAGTAACGAAGGAAATGATCTCATGATTCAATAGACAATTTGGGGCTGAGCACAGGGAGACAGAGGGATGGCAAAAGGGAATTTGGAGATTGGAAAATGGGTGGGACTGGAATGACTGACCTGATCCTGAGATCCTTCAGTTCAAGGCATGAACAATAGTGTTTCTCTTTCTGTCCCCATAAATCACATCTGACCCGTTCGAGTCTGATTCTGTAACTCAGGCGGAGCAGAGGTCAGTCTGACATAAACTAACAAACAGGAGGCTCATGCAGATTTATGTAGGGTTGAGAAGATTCTGTTATTTATTCTTTCCTTCCTTTTCCAAACTCCCACCAGAATATCATAGGGAGTCCTAGATATATTCCAGGAATCAGCAGGGGACAACTGAGTTAAATGTGACAAGTCCAGCAAATAAATCATTAAATTTATTGGCTAATTATCTGAATTTACGTTAGAATTTTGCAACTCTGGCTCTTTCTTTGTGAACTGGACACATGCAATTGGTAAATTTCTCTAGACATTCCGCAGCACTAGCCAAATGAGAGGTCCACTTTCCTTGCTAAATTTCTACCTAAGTTAAAATCACATTTAGAACTTGAATGGTATATCAGTCTCATTTATGAATGGAATAAGTACTTACTGAATGATACTATGTTAGTGTGTGTGTGTGTGTGTGTGTGCACGCACGCGCGTGCATGTGCATTTGTGAAAATAAATCATCAAAGGTTGATCTCTTAAATATTTCCCCTTCTATAGGGAATTAAAATTTTTACTTTGGCAATGCTAACCCGGATTCAGATGTTATCAATTTCAATTGGACTATGAAGATTGTGAACCTCTTGTAAACCTTTCTGGATCTACTTCCCCTCCCCTTCTAACAGGCAAGAGAGCAAAGCTATCTCACAAGGCTTAAAGTTACTACTGGATCCAAGCTATAGCCAATGCAAGAATTTACTTCCTAAAGGCAGACAAGTCTTTTAACCCAAGAAGCCAAAAAAAGATTTTAACTATCCATGCTTAGCATTTGCATCACCAGTGTATTCTTTGCAAATCAAGGAAGTGATTACACTCTAACATTTGCCTTCCTCTGCACAGAGAGAGCATCTGTGTATTTTTAAATCAAAACAACTTAGCACCAGAAGTCCCCTTCAAGAATAATTACATTCTAGTGTCACTAACTATACCTATATAAACCAATCCAAATTTGCATTTGTTAGAACAGTTCTTAGGGAGTAAAATCTGCAGGACTGTTAACAACCTAACTTGGATTGTATTGCTCATTGCTTTGGAAACCATACTTTGAACCACAAGATTGTTTCCACAAATTGTCCTTAACATGTGGCACCACCACAGGAGAACTGCAAAGTTAGCATTCTAAAGGACTGTCTCCTCCAGTGTTTGTTGAGTGAAGGAAGATTCTATAGGAAAGAAAAGAATGCAAGGATGTGCATGGGCAGGGAGGGATTCTTTATTCTTTATTCTCAGGTCTGGGATGGCCCCAGGCAATCATGGGGCAGTCAGTCACAGGTTTATCAGGCAATAATGTGATCATTTGCTGAAAATGCGTTAGGAAGGAAAGCTCTAAGAATGGAGGGTAGAAACTGTGTTGTGGATCATATTGACAGGGGGTAGGGAGGGGAAGAGATGGTGTAAAACACCAGGCATGGTATAGCAGGAAATCTGCGCACACATATTGTTTTTGGACTGTCCGAGTTAATTTTCCAACCCAAGGACATTTTTCCATTGTGGAGGGGTGCAGGAAGCCAGTGCTCTCTGAAGATCAGCCTCAGCACACTGCTATTATAACAGGGTGGTCCCCAGGAAAGGGGGAGGTTCCAGGTTCCCTGCCCCACCCAAAAAGGAGGGTGGAGCTGAGCAGGGAGAAAAGAAGCTGCAGAGGAGACTGAGGAAGGGAAGAAACAGGAGGGAGAGCCAGGAGACCTAGAGGAGGCACATGGAGCAGAGAGACACGTGAAGAAACCGCGCTTGCCTTTTGGTCTTGGACTGGTTGACACAGATGTATGTGGGTGAGAGACCCGTGGGGAGGTGACAATGGTTGTTTTTGTCTTGATTTTGATTTTGCTTTTTTCCTCCCAGACTTGTCGGGTTGTTTCTGATCCTTTTCTGTGGGTCCCCCCTGGAAGATGCTTTAGACTTGTGATAGGTTTTGGGGCCTTGCTCTGGACCAGTCCCGCTTGGGTGGATTTTTACCCACGAGGGGATGGGTAACTTTGGGTGCTTGATTTATAAACTATATTCTTTGCCTTTCCTGTATTGTTTCCTAATTGTATTAAAGTTGCTTCCCATTAAAGTTTTGTGTTGATGCAGCGATGGCAGAACCTATTTATAGCAGGCAAGTTTGTGGGGTCTGGGGTGCCTCTCTCTCTGCCCTGTAGCAGGATGAGAGTGAGCACAGGTGTCCAGGAGGGCGGTAAGGAGCTCCAGGGCTGGACATCACAATCTCCAGCTTACTGCTGAATTGTCTTTATTCAATTTGTTGTCGTTTTTGGAGTCAGTGGGTTGGGGTGGGGGTCCTTGGGTTCACTCTGAGAAAGGTTCCACCCGCGCTCCCGTTTCAGCGACACGTGGCGAGTTTCCCAGGCGAGTTTCTCCATGAAACAGAGACAATAGTTATATTTAAAGAACAGGTTTATTAGGGAAGGGATAAAACAGTTAAAGACACTTGCATAGACACAAGCGGGCAGGAAGAGCTGCCCCAGAAGGGACAGTTTTGCTAAAGAGGCTTACATGGTTGCAGGTGGGCAGCCTTGACAGGTCATGGGAAGGCAGGAAGCTGCTGCCCTGAGGAGGGAGAGAGTAGGAGAAAAGAGGCACCTGCATAGTCAAAGGTGGGCAGTGGGAGTGCTGCCCGGAGCCAGTGCAGAGACTGCTCTGATATATAGTCTTCTTCTGTTTGGGAGGGGTCACTCCTTGTGAGTTGGTTGCTAATTTTGGGTAACTATGTAGAATTTGAAAGGGACCAGAGATTCTACAATGGGCTCAATTCTATCTTTACCTTTGGATGCATCCTCGGATACCTGCTTGGATGTTATGCTTTGTAATCTAGGCATCTGGGCCTAAGGATACTAGTCTGAGCCTAAGAATACTAGTTTTCGCAACTGTCTGCTCCTAAGCATCTTGGTTTCCATAGTTGTGTCAATGGCTATGTTAATCTCTTTTACCCCCACCACCTCCTTGTGAGCCAGGTTTCTGGTCTTGTGGCACACCTTCTTTTCAGTTTTTTTCTATTCTTGTCCTCCCTCAAATTCACTATAAAAAGCCAGCTGGAAATGATATGTTAAGGCAGTTTCTTTAGGGTGTTAACCTCCCGTCTTCCAGATTTCTGGCTGTCTGATTAAAGTGCACCTTAAAGACTCAATTCCTATCTCTACTTCATTGGCATTCAGTGGTGACAGGTTGTCTGAACTCTGGTCTTCTGGTTACAATATGAAGGGATAGAAAAACAAGAAAAACATAATCACAAAGAAAAGGGGAATGGAGTAGGGTTGCTGCAGTATAAAGACATACTGTTCCATGAAATTAAGATGAGGTAGCACACTTGTTCCTGATAATCTTGCCAGTTTTACACAAACAACACTTATAAAACTGAACATTAAAGTGCAAGAAGGAAAACAGGTAGCATTGTATTTTTCTTGTAAAATTATAGAGGATACTATCAAAAGCAATAGATATTTTTAATTTTAAGGTTATAAGCATGACTGAGGTTAGCCTCCTATTTATTGTGCTGAATTATTAACTTTCTTAATTTCATTCAGTTTATGGAATATACTTTTTTTTTAAGATTTATTTTATTTATGGATACAAGAGCTGGGGTACAGGCCAGATATGGGGTGTGTGTGTGTGTGGATTCACGAGAGACAGAGTGTGGAACAGACCAGGCAGACTGACCTAAACACACGGCTGAGGGGAGCAGCGGATGAGACAGGAGAGGTCTGCTGCTCCATGTGGGTTGCTCCCTGGCCAGGGATCGAACTCATGCTGCAGAAGCTGCGGATTGCAGCAGAGGCTGCGGATTGCTGAGATGCTGCGGATTGCTTCATAGTGCGATGCTTAACCCCTTGCGCCACCAGGGAGGCCCCATACTTTCAAAGTTTCTGTGACTTATAGGTGGTGGTGGGAGATGTATCACAGTAGGGTTTATGGTAACCAGAGCTTAGGGACTGGTTGTAAGGAAGGCAGGAAAGCATAGATCAAAAGAAAACACAGAAATCATATGTGTAGTAATTAGCTCAGGCTTCCATGACAAAATGTTATTGACTGGGTAGCTTCAACAACAGAAATTTATTTTCTCATGGATCTGGAGACTAGAAGCCCAAGATTATAATTTTTGGTTTGTTTTCTGTTGAGAGTTCTCCACCTGACTACCTTCTCCCTATCACCTCACATGGCCTTTTCTTGGTGCCTGTGCAGGGAGAGATGGAGGTGGCAGTGAGGAGAGAGAGGGGAAGGTGGGGGTTCTCTGCTCTCCCTTCTTACAAAGACACTTATCAGAATAGGCCCCTAACACTATGACCTCACTTAACCTTAATTACTTTCTCAGGGATGCTCATCTCCAAATATAGTCATACCGTGGAATTAAAGCTCCTTCATATACATTTGGGGAAGACACAAATGTTATTCATAAAATAGAGAAAAAGGAAAGGGGCTACTAACTGAAGAAAGTAGAAAGGTTTTACTACAATGGAACAATAAATTAGACCTAGCTTCTTGGCAAAAAGGGTCAAAAAGAGAAGTGTAACAGGGAGAATGAATTTAAGTCAGTGGCTAATCTCTTGGCAACTTAGGCCGTATTCCCTCTTATTGTGTGTTTCTGTTTGTTAAAGTAGTTTCAGATATAGACTAGTAAGGGAAGAGAGGACCTAGAAAATCTGTTGTACCTCATATCACACTTTCGATTTTTTTCTATATAGGAAGCTAATTTCAAAAACTTTTGCCCTTTGGAGCCTCATTGGATGATGTCAGGAAGTAGAAGTTCTGAACTGAGCTGTGTTCATTGCCACTAGAATTAATGATTGGGCTCCTTGAATTGTCAAGGCAGTGTAAGAATAAAAGCAAACAAGTGGGGCCTCCACGGTGGTGCAGCGGTTGAGCGCTGGGTTGAGAAGCTGCCCACAGCCTCTGCAGCGCCGGTTCGATCCACGGCCGCCGGGCGAGGGTCCCGCATGGCGCACAGACCTCTCCTGCCGCCCGCTGCTCCCCTCAGCAGTGTACTTCAGTTCTTCTGCCTGCTCTGCTCCTCCCTCTTGCTCTGGTGAATTCTCTCACCCTCCCACGCTTTTGACTGTACCCAGTGCTTGTATAAATAAATAAATCTTAAAAAAAAAAAAAAGCAAACAATTGGAAATATCACAAATCCTGCAAGCAGATTGTTTCTAATCGGAGGAGGAGTTGCAAATTCTCTTGCTGGTTAAATTTAAAAACTTACATTTTACAAAAGTTCTAAAGAAAATCATTTATATTGGTTGTTTTGTATACAAATGCATTTAAAATGATTTTCTCCTGAACTTTACCATTATTTCAAGAATATCTGATGACAGCTTATTGGTTCCAATAAGTTTATTTTAGAAGCTCTACTATAACACGCAGAGTGCAAAGGGTCACAGAATCATTTGAATGATGAATGCATAAATAAATTTTTTAGTTCTTAAGTGGTTTCTGCCCTTCTTGAATCATTTTTTTAAGTCATGCCATATTATCTTTAAGTACAAAGATCCTTCTAAGCACATCACCTAGAGATCATCTTATTCACTGCTTATTTATTAGTCTGTCACTCTCTTTCTCTCCCTTCAGCAATGATGAGGTAAATTTCTTTTCATTGGGCAAGAGAAATCCTAGATTTGTTGCCTTTGCCAATAATGAAAATATTAGAAAGGCAAATGGCAAAGCTGTTGTGGCTGTCATTTCACAGGAACCACTTCAAAAGAACCAGGATGTTTCTCTTTATTCATGATCACAGCAATTCTTCCCAAGCTATCACCTCCACATCCCATGCACTGTTTACATGTGTCAAACTCCATGATATAATCTCGCTAGTCTCCAAGTCAATTTGAATGGTGTCATTCACCTTGGGGAGGAGATTAGGTTATGGTGGCTGTGAGCATCATCAGTTACCAAGTGAGCGAATCTATTTGTACCCAAAAAGATCTTTCTCACCTTGAACAAATTGTACTTGGCGTACATATTCCCTCAGGGGTAATATGATGAACAGCAAAGCAATACTTAGATGAGATGGAAATTCTCTCCAGTCTTGTTCATGGGGATGCTATCCATAAAAACTGCAGGGTAGGTTACATTAGCTCAGACCTTGCCTTAAATCTTAATGAACCACAGTGGGCAGTTCTTAACTTCATCTCATCTAAGGGGATACTTCAGTCTGTTCATTTAGAAAACGACGAAAGGGAAACATTCTCTCAGTTTCTGGGGCTGGTTAGACAGACATGGAGCACACATATACAAACTGGTTGTTGTAACATTCAGTGCTTAGCCTGTACACCCTTCAGATGCTTCTTGAGAGGATGAGCTGTGGCTGCAGCATGGGGCACAAAAAATATTTTTCAATTCTTCTTAGCTTGTCTTCTTAGCTTGAGTTCTTAGCTTGAGTTCTTCTTAACTTTGAGTTCAACTTGGTTCTTAAATCTACTGTTTTCTCAAAATGGTAGACAGGGAAGAAAGTAAGTCATTCTTGATCATTGAAATCTTTTCAAAATGGCAAATTCAAAAATACTAGTATAGTTAGCCAGAAAAAATAAGTATAATATAAACCATTCCTTCATTTATCCTTTTGTTCATTCATAATTTCTGATTTTTAGTGAGTACCCTTCTAGGATATTTGTTAGGCTCTGGATGAAATGTGGTCTCTTGGAACTTCCACGCTATTAAAGGCAGGTAGATCTGTGGGCCAGCTGCAATCCTAGAGATATGTGCAAATGTTATTGCAGCACTTGTAGAATGCTGCAAATGTTATTGCAGCATTCCTAGAGGAGAACATTTGAATTGGTTTCAGGAG